GCGCACGCCCAGCCGCCGCGTCCCCAGGCTCCGGGGTCCGGCTCACCACCCTGTTCTCACAGTGGCTGGAATGGGTGCAAATCTAGTCCCTTCCTCTCCCACCCCAAGTTCTCAGCAGACCTTCATCTGGGCATCTGGGCGTGTTCTCTCCTCTCAGCTCCGAGAAGCAGGCTATCGCGTCCGCATCCAGGAGAAACTTTATCCCCGGTTGCTATACCGAGGTTGGGTTGGGGACTGCAGGTCATGGGAAAGATGGGTAGTGGTTTGAAGAGGTATGATCCCCAAATGTCTTAAAACATTTCATATCCCTGAAGGTGGGGGGACCGTCCGTAACCCCAGCCCCCCGCCCCCTCCTTTTTCTCCACCAACTTCCCCATCTCCCCCTGCCGGGCGGACGCTGGTCTGTTGGGGAAGGGCAGCTCTGGGATCGCTATTTTTCTGGAAATGTGAGGAGGGTCTGGGCTGCCCTTTCAGCGTAGGTGGGTCCATCTCTCCTGGACTGAAGTTGTAACTGGTCTGGTGAGTTGCTTGTTGGAGAAGTTGGCGACTTGGCATCATGCCTGGGATTGGAGCGCTTGTCTTTCCTGTAAGGCTTTTCCTGATTTCCCCATCATGCTCTTCCCTTACACTCCTTCCCCCTCTTCTTCCAACTCTCCTCTCTTCTCTGCAGGAGTGGATTTGTTGCTGGGAGTAAAGGTTCTAGGAACCTTCTCTTCCAGAATTTTGGGAAATCTGAGTTGACGTTTGGTGCTCCTCTTCTTTCCTTATGACAAAAGCACAACAACCAAAAACAAAACAAACCAACAACAAAAAGCAATACCCAGTGCATTCTAGGTACCGGGCCCACACATTCTGCTCCCTGCCAGGCATCCATCAGATCTCAGGTGGTTTTGCCAGAAAAATGTGTCTAGAAATTTGTTTGTTTTTTTAAAAAATATATTTATTTCAGAGAGGAAGGGAGAGGAAGAGAGAGATAGAAACATCAGTGATGAGAGGGAATCATTGATTGGCTGTCTCCTGCACGTTGGACGGAGCCCGAAACCGGGGCATGTGCCCTTGACCGGAATCGAACCTGGGACCCTTGGGTCTGCAGGCCGACGCTCTATCCACTGAGCCAAACCGAGTAGGGCTGTGTCTAGAACTTTTAACTTTTCATAGTACCTTTAAGTCTTCTAATCATATTCAGTAACTTTATAACTCAAGTTGTATTATTGTTGTTCCTGACTTAAACAGACGAAGAATGGGAAACCAGGACAGGTTGACTACCTTACCTAAGGTCACACTCTGAAAGTCTGTGAAGCTTCGTGCTTACACATGCTGACCACAGAAGTGGCAGCAGCTGTGTTGGAATCAGTCTTGCTTTGGGATCCCAAATCTGCAACTATTAACTGTGAGACCCTGGGCAAGTTGCTTAATATCTCTGGCTCCAGCTTTCTTGTAAAAGAGGAAATAGAATAAATAAGATCGATCTTTCTGAGATTGTGTGTTGATTAAATTACTGCATGAAACGACACTTCATAATGCATAAAGTCCTACATATTAATAGAGATTCCTATTAACATTACAGAAAGATGGGGATGAAATGTACAGATCCAGAGAACTTCTTTCTGTCTGCTCATTCCACACTGACCTCTCCTTTTCCTCTCATCTCCCCTGCCCCCTGCAGGTCTTGACCACTCTGCCGAACTGGCGTTTGCTGTGGAGCCAAGCGATGATGTAGCAGTCCCTGGGCAGCCTATAGTGCTGGGCTGCAGGGTAGAAGGGACCCCTCCAGTGCGAATCACCTGGAGGAAGAATGGGGTGGAGCTGTTGGAGAGTCCTCACTCCACCATGCTGGCCAATGGGTCCTTGATGATCCGTCACTTCCGGCTGGATCAAGGAGACAGCCCTTCAGACGAGGGCGACTATGAGTGTGTGGCTCAGAACCGCTTTGGGCTGGTCGTTAGCCGGAAGGCGCGCATCCAGGCAGCAAGTAAGTGGACACCCTTTACTTTTTTCCCCAAATTGGGGGTCAAGGGGCATGGGGAGCCAGAGGAGCAGTTCCATCTTAGCCTTCCAGAGGACTAATTTTTCAGCATGGGTCCACTGAGAGGTGCATAGCAGTAATTTATGGTGGTGGAATTACATCATATACTCATTTAATTGATTAGAATGTGATTTGACAAGAATATAGCCAAACGGTGTAGTGGGAAGAGGGAGAGAGAGTGAGCACTTTATCCAACTTTGTGTGTCTTAGTTTCTATATGCCTGTATATTGTGATCTTCCTGATCCATTGAGTATGAGTCTTGTGTTTCAAGATAAACAGTTGTCATATTTTTGGGTGGTTTAAGAGATTTTTGAAGGAACAATTTTGGCTATATTGAATTTTTGTTAATCCTTACCCAAGAATATTTTTCCCCATTGATTGTTAGAGAGAGTGGAAGGGAGGGGGAGAGACAGAGAGAGAGAAACATGGATGTGAGAGACACATTGATTGGTATGTGCCCTTGACTGGAATTAAACCCAAGACCCTTCAGTTCAAGGGCCGATGCTCTAACCACAGAGCAAAACAGGCGAGGGTGGAATTTTTAATTATGTGCTGACTTTCAGCCTTTTGGGTAGGATAAATCTCACTATACCAGTAATGACATTCTGAAGCTTGTCAACAATTTGCTTTACAAAAAATATGGTAAAATGATTTTGGAGTTATTGCAATAATGGCATTAACATTTCTCCCACTCACCTTCATGCTGATGTGCTTTTTTAAAATTGCAGTTTTATTGAAGTATACTTGACAATAAAATCATAAGATACTTAAAGTGTACATTGTGGTGAATTGATACCGGCTGTGCTTTTTTGAATAGGAGAGAAAATGCCAAGCAAGGTGCTTTAGCTGTAGAATTGTGCTTTGCTTGAGCTGATGGTGTGATGGAAGGATGGCTGTGTTTTACTGCCCTGTTCTGCACAATTCTGTTGTTGTTGAGTGAACACTTGTGGGAGTGTGTTGCATAAACCAAAATTATCTGTCTATCTTGGGGAGATGGCAGGCTATTGGGTCGGGGAGCCATGGTTGGAACTACTGCTCTTGAGAAATGACAAGTTTTGGCAGGTGTATGTTCTCCATCTCATAGCTCTGTACTTCTCAGGGAGAGGGTTCCCTTAAAGAGGGTGCTTTAACTGGTTGACAGTAATTCCAGCTGATACTTATTAAGCACTTGCTGCATGAGGGGCACCCTGAGTGCTTTACGTGAATTATCTCACTTCGCCATCACAAAAACCCAGGAAGACTGGCCGTTATCATCCCCTTTCACAGGTGAGAAAACGGACACTTAGGGGGATTCGGGGCCATTCTGGTAAGCAGAGAAGCCAGGACTGCAGTCCAGGCCGTCTGAACGCTACACCCTCCCGCTTAACTCCTATGGCATGCTGCCTCTTTCCTGTCGGATCACTGACAACTTTCTTCCTGGCTCTGAGGGCATTTGCACAGTTGCTCTGAACGGCTGGTGAGTGATGAATCGTGCTGAGGCAGGAGCCCTCTGGTTGAGTTTAAGATGCCCCTTTGTTCTAAGGAAGGCTGTTCCAGGCCCCCATATGGAGCTCTCTGGGAGGCAGCTCTGGACCTTGAGGCTGAATCACTTCTGGCTCAGCGACCCTCATGCGCTGGCCCTCCTGGCAGTGTAGGGGAAGGCTGGTGTGCCCTCTGAGCAGATGGCTGGGTGTGAGGAAGAGAAGCATGGGCAGAGGGTAGGGACTTGAGGAAGCTTGCGGATGGGAGAAATGAGACGTTTCAGGCCACACTCCCTGACCTGCGTCAATGCCGAGGGATCGATGACCTCTGCATCTGGGAGATAAATCCCCAGGTGTTTCTATATAGTTAATTGTAAATGTGTTTTTCTATAAATGGTAATACTTTCAAGATGTTTGGTTTCCTTAAATGCCTAACAGTATAAAAAACTGCACTGTCGGCTCTGGCTGGGGGAAGCAGTGGTGGGTGAGGTCACCTTCGTTAAACCTTTGGGGTCCGGGGAAAGCTGGGGGGTGTTGCCCCCAAACACTGGCAGTCTGATATGGCCTCTCTCCCCCCACAAGGCCGGTGGCCCCATGGGGGAACGCTTGGATATCAAGCAAGCAATGGCTGGATCCCCTTTTCTCACTTCACAGGCGGATGTCCCTAGAAACCTCCAGAGCTGCTTAGCTGCCTAGGTTTCCTCCTTTGGGAATAACTCCCTGCCCATATACCTGCAGGCACTACAGGTGTGGTGTGGCCTGGGAGGGTGCTGTGCTGAAAAGGTGTGAGGAGACCTCTGAAGCCCCACTTCTGCCTACTTCACAGGGGCTGATGGGGAGGGGCATGCTAAGCACCCCTTACAGACACACAGTCCACCCAGAGGACTAACCCAGTGAAGCAGATGGGGCCCAGGTCCATGTGGGCAGGTGTGCTGAGACATCCGGGCTGACCCCTGGGAATACCCCCCTCCCATCCCAGTGGGCTCAGACGCTGCTTTGAAAGTTGGCCTGACCAGAGTGGGCTGAACTACAGGCTGATTCCTTGGGGGCTTCAGCTCCAAGTATCTCCCTTTTAGGATGGAGTGGGTCAGGGTCCTAGCATGTCTGTTCTCTCCGCCTTGCTGTTCCATGTGCTTATTGTTTGGGGGTTGAAAATTGAGACACTTGTTAAGAGGGAAACCCTGGACAGGTCAGCCTCTCCATGGCCCAGTTTCCGCACCTGTAAAATGTGCACCCTACTCTGTGAGATGGTTGTGGGGACTGGCACACCCCACACTTTGCCTGGCACACAGAAGGGTGCTCAGTAGTGGGAGCCAGTACTTTCATCTTCATTTAAAGGCAGCTGCACTGACATGGCTAACACAAGCAAACTGCCCAAGTCTGCTCCCAGCCTCCAGCGTCCTCCCTCACTGGGATTCGGGCAGGGAGCACTCCAGGGAAATCTATCAGCGAGTGGAATTATTGGAGCCTGAGTGTGACTTGTTCTTTTTTAACCCCTTCCTGAGGGGGCCTGGGGATCCTCCCAAGCCTTTGGGTATCAGCTGAAGCTGGGCTGTGAGACCCTGTGAGGCCCTCTGCCATCCCTCTGGAGGGTTCTAGAGAGGGCACAGGGGTCACCTGACCCAGGGGAACATGTGCATTGACTCATACCTGTTGAGTTCTGTGTGCCTGGATGACTCAGAGAGGGATGGCTACCTACAGGAGGGGTGATAAATGGGGGATCCTCTCCCAGCTCCCCTGCTCCCCTCAGGCAGGAGCCCTCAGTTTCTGCCCTTCACTTCCGGGCCTCAGTTCTTGGTGTCAGGCCCCTTGGGGAACTGGAGTGAAGAGCTATGGGACCTAGAGCAGGACTTCCCCAAACTTTATTGTGCCTGTGAATTACCTGGGGATCTTGATACAATTCAGATTTTGAATCAGTAGGTCTAGGCCAAGGGGGGTTCTGCATGTCTAGCAGAAGCCCAGGGGATGCTGACGCTGCTGGTCCCCAGGTGCTGGAGGAGAACCCGCTCCTGTGTCATAATCACTGGTTGGGGTCTATAGGCAGCATAGTGAAGTCAGAAGCACATGGGCTTCAGGGCCAGAGCAAGGGGGGGGTTGAACTCCATCTCTGACACTCCTTGATCATGTGTCCTTAGCACGAGTTACTTAACCCTCTTGACCTCTGTGCCCTCATCTTTAAAAAATGGGCATAATCCCATCAGCCTATCGGGACTGCTGGAGGATTAAACGAGGTGATGGTTGTAAAGCACCTGGTACAGGCCTGGCATCTAGGAAATGCTCATTAAGTATTATTGTTAGTGCTGGGTATTGACCACTAGTTTAGGATGAGGTCCAGCTCGTTTCAATGCTGGCTGGGTTCTCGAAAAGCCAGGATGGCCTCCCTCCCAGCCTGAAGCCATCCCGACTGAGCAGGCCCAACGGTGGCTAAGAGAGTGGGCTAAGGAGGCCACGAGTCTCAGTTTCCTCATCTTTAGAATGGGGAAATGATACTTACCAAGGAGAAATCTTGTGAGGATGACCAGGATAATATGTGTAAAGGTCTTAGCAGGTACAGGGCACATAGAAAGTGTTCCTTAAAGGTTAACTATTATTATTCTGGGGAGGAATTAGAGGTGAGAAAGGTGATGTTCTAAGCTGTTAGTTGTGGTGGTTCCAGCAAGGCCCCTGGTGAGTCCAGGTCCCTAGAAAGAGGCAGTGGGGTGTGGTGAGAGGGGAGAACGTCCAGTTCTAGTCCCCTCTGTGTCTACTTCAGTAAGTCACTGTTTCTCAGGCCCTCAGTTACCCACTTTAAAGCCCACATCATTCTCAACCTGTCTGAGGGAGGGAGTTTAAGCAACTAGTCTGAGATCCTCTTTCAGCAGCAAGATCCGTGGTTGTGTGGATCTGCAGGCAGAGTCTGGGCATAGGTGTGTGTAACCAGGTCTGGGTGGGGGGGTCAGGAAAACTATGGGCTGGAGCTGTTGGGGAGTAGAGCTTGTGTAGAGGGGCTCATTGAACTTAGGGGGCTTCTGTCCAGTGCAGTGGGAGAAGTGGCTATAACCCTGGAGGCCTTTGTCACCTGGAGATTGTATGCTCAGACCTGGTATGTGGAAGCCAGGCTCTTCTCTCTTCCAGGAAGAGCAGCTCAGCGGAGGTAGCCCTGAGGAAGTCTCCCCCACTGGCCCTCAAACACATGTCTGCCTACCCACGAGGACAGTAATCAGGTCCTGAAGTGTCACTGGTGTGATGGTGCCTAGATCTGCTCTCATGCCAGGCAGCTTACCTGTATGTATGCCATGGCACAGAGGTAGGTGCACATGGGTAAGGGTCAGGCCCTTTTACCTGCTAGTCAGCCTTCCACAGACCAACCCCTTCTGACACTCCTGAGAAACTGTAAGGTACAATGGCAACATCCTTACCTGGACACCAGGTGTCCTGTGTGGCTCTGGGCAAGTCAGTCACCCTCTCTGGGCTCCGCTTTTCTCATTGTAAAGTTGGGTGGTTGG